CCCCCCCCCCCCGCCGCCGCCGCCGAAAGCGACGACCCAACCCCTCCTCCACCGCCGCCCCCGGGCAGCGCAGAAGAAAAGCCCCCGAGCGCCGGCGCCCGCATGGGCTGGGGCGCGGGCAGGGTGAACGACTCCTCCGGGCCGAACTCGTCGCTGAAGCTCGGCTTGCGGATGAGGGAGCCGGAGCAGCCCCTGAACCCGCACCCGGCCACCTCCTTGCTGCAGTGGGGGCAGTGGAGCCGGGTGCCGTACTCCGCGAACATTACCAGCGACTTCACCCCGCTGCTGCGCGTCTCGCCTCCGGTCGAACCCGCCATCGAGGCAGCCCTCTCCTTCGACTTGCCTCGTCGCCGGACCCCGCTGGTCCACCTGCCCGAGCCCCGTTGCCCCCCGCCGCCGCCACCGGCGCTCCCGCTGAAGGAAGTATTTCGCTGCTTGCGACGGCTGCCGCCCAGCCCCGCCCCCCCGCCTCCGCCCGCCCCCGATGTGATCTGCTTTGACCCCCCATGCCCATGCCCCAAGCCCCAGCCGTAGCCGTTGATGGCCATGATTATCGGGTCGAACGCCCAGCTGTCCCTGCTGGAGCGGGCGGAGTTCGTCTCGCCACAGGCGCTGCCTCCGCTTGTGGTCGACGCGCACTGCCTGTTGTTGGTTGTCCCCGAGGAACGGTGCGAGGTCTTGCCGGCCGAGTGTTGGGAGAGGGAGAACGACCGGGCGCTCCTGCCGCGGCTGCTCGCACGGCTGCTCCCGCTGGCCACGCTCATCGTTCCCTTGCCGCCGCCGCCGCTGCCGCCGCCGCCTCCGTGGCTGTCTCCGCCGCGGATATTGTCGAGCATGGCAGCGGAAGAGGTCCGCTGTCCTGGCTGCCTCGCCCCTCCCTCGACCCCGCCGCCACTGCCGCCGCTTGCTCCGCTTGATTTTCGGCGGTGAGAACCGACACTGCTTCTGCTGCGCCCCGCACCGCGTGACGCTCCCCGCCCGTCGCTGACGCCCAAGCCGCCCGTTCCTTTCGCCCTGCCCGCGGCCGCCGCCGCCAGCACCATAGCGTCGGCGCTCCTGGTGATCATCTCCACGCTGCTCGTCGCGCGCCGGCCCTTCCGCGGGGGTGTCCAGAAAGCGGATTGGTCTTCCACCACCGATGACCTCCCCCCCCCGACCGCCGCCGCGCCCCCGGTGGTCGCGAAGTTGCCCCCGCCCCCAGCTCCCATGGCGCCCCCCCCACCGATGGCGGCGGGATTGGGCCGCGCGCAGATGACGGACGCGGCGGGGGGAGCCTCCGGCCTCGGCTGGTCCTCCAGCGGGCGCCGCCTCCGGCCCTGCTTGCCCGCTGCCCCGCTGCCGCCGCTGTCATTTTCCTCATCGAGAGCCGCCGTCGTCGCCGCCGCCGCCGCCGCCGCCGCGGCGGCAGCGGCGGTCGCGGTCGCGAAGGCCGCCGCCTCCTTCGGCGACAACGGCGACGGGATCGACTGCGGGCTTCCCTCGTAGTCTGCGTCGAGGGCCAGGCCCTGGGCGGCGGCCTTGTAGGTGGCGGCGGACCCGCGGGCGCCGCCGGGAGCCTCCCTTGACACCGGCCTCCGCCGCCAGCCGCTGCCTCCTCCCCCCGTACCGACGCCGTCGGCACCGACGCCCCCCACGCTGCTCACTCCGCTCGGGGTCGTTGTTCGGGGCTCGGGGTACTCGTCGCCGTCCATGGCTCTCTCTCCCACGCCGCGAAGTGCGTCCCCGACGCTGCCGCTCGTGCCGGGGCCCGTGGCCGCCGCCGCCGCCGCCGCGGAGGGAGCCACGAGCGCCTTGCCCTCCAGCTCCTGCTTCGCCCGGAGGAGCCTGGTGCCCAAGACGGGGAAGAGGACCCCGACCCCCGCGAGGAGGATTGCGACGCCCTCGGTTGTCCTGCGAACCTGTGCCGTGTTTTTCGGTGTGTTGCAAGGGCGGAGGGGGATGGTTTTGGTCGACAACGTGGTTGACACTGCTGCTTCTCGGCGTGGAAAGGGCAGGGGGGTCGTGGGGGTTGGTATAATAGACTAAGACGCGATTGACAATTCTGCTTTCGGATTGGCAAGGGCAGGGAGGCGGGGGAGGGGGTTGATCATCGTAAACACGTGATGGACACTGCTGTTGTTTGCGCTGCTAAGTTATCGATCGCGCTTAGAGGCTTTGAGAAACGTCCCGGGGTGGGTGCGGAATCAATCTTATGCAATCTACACCAGCAAAACGGACGCGAACGGTGTGCGTTGTTCAGATCGATACCTGAGCGTTGGCCTCGGCCCAAACGACGGCGGCCACGAGGATCCCGGCCACGCCCAGGTTGTACGTAGCCATCCCGATCCCGCTGTGAACACCACAAACGACACCACCGGTCGCACGGGTTCACAACACACACACACACACACACACACAGATCCGAGCACAGAAAACGGACGGGCAACCGAGTAATAAGAACAAGCACACGGAGAAAGGCAAGTGCAAGACAAGGGTGCAAGAACAAAAAACAGTACGCACATAGAAACACACCCCGCCTAGGCCAGCAAGCACAAGCACGGGCACACGGGCAACGGCAAGGGCGGGCGCTACGAAATCAAGGGGCCACGGAAAAGGATCACCTCGAACGACCGCAACGCCGTCGTCAAGGGCGGCAGCGGAGAAACAAACCGGGGCCAAGAAATAATGAGTCTGTAACACGCCAAGAAGCATACACCCATCTTGTGTACGAAGTAGTTTGTACACACACGGATCTCGCCACAAGCGCCACGAAAAGTAGGTCGTGAACACAAGAGGCGCTGACTGAATACGGGATAGGTTGAGTCGACGACAACAACAACACCAACAAACCTGAACCGAAACATGACCCAACACAAGACGCATCTACGCACGCCTGCTTCGCTGCTCGAAACATTTCAGTGGTGTACAAAGTCACAACGAACAGCAAGCAACACGATAGTGTACCAGCAACTTTCGCACCACCACCTCCCGTCTCGCGCCGTCCTTAACAACGGTAATTTTACGCACCCGTTATCCCTAATGTAGTCCTGGAACTTGCGTGCCTGAAAGCTCACGTAGCAACAGAAGAGCACCAACACCGCCTGCGTAGCGGGAGGGGGGGAGCGCCGGCGGCGGCGGAGGTTGGGGATTGGTGGCAAGCGCTCGACAAAGCGAGTCGAGAGAGCGAGTGATAGACGGCCTGTCGTCGGTGGCCGTAGCCGCTCTCGATCGCCAAAACCTCTATTTAGCCTCTCTTTGCAGTTCGATGGTAATTATTTTCTTTCCCGAATCTCTAAAAAATTACCACCATGATGGTCTGCTTTTTGTTTGCACCCAACGAAGACGTCTTGACAACGTGTCCACTCGCTCCTCCGATGCCTTCTCTGCCGTCCCTTCCCTTCGCCCATCGCGTTGCGATGCGTACCCCTTCTCTTTTTCTGCTCTACACCTTTGCCCAACAGTCATCATCCCTCCCGCGGGTAGACATGGCGTCCAACTTGATAACTGTTCCTCTCCCGCCCTCGTCTCGTTCGGCCCCTTGTGCGTGTTCTTGCCTGTCGCCCTGTCCCTCTCAATTTTCATTCGTCTTCCTCACGCCGCCCCCCCATTTCCCACGTTTCCTCCCTCCCCGCCACCGATGAGCAGACCAGTACCCGCAAAACTATCTACCTGTCTGGCTGCTCCACTGTTGCTACTATCGGTGCGCCCCCCCCCCCCCCCCCCCCCCCCCCCCCCCCCCCCCCCCCCCCCCC